CTTCTGACTTAGGGCCTGTGCATTCATTGTCTCATCTGCCTGCAGAAATTTTTCCCCAGGTATCTGCCTTTCCCACTCCCTCACTTCCTTCATTCTTTCTCCACTAGAATATAAGCTCCAAGAGGTCAGGGATTTTTTTTTTTTTAAATTGTCCACAGTGCCCATAAGAGTGCCAGGCATGTAGTGGACACTTAAATATTTGTTGGAGGGAGAAAGGAAGCAAAGAAGGAAAGAAGGAATCAGGAGGTTGCAGGTGTGAGGCTAAATTAAAACTCATGGGTATAAAGGTTTGCCCAGAGGAGCTGTGGCCTCCGGTCCTGCTGAGGTCATCAGACGCCACACCAGAGAGGGTTTCTAAACCTCTCTGAACTTTCTGGTAATTTCCTGTTGGTGTCTTTGTACCATCTACCATTATCTTTTCATTTCTTTCCTCTTGCCTGGAAAAAATGCCTTTGCTGTAGTTCTAATTGACTCCCACCTGGCACTGACGGAATGTGACAAATTATATATAATACATTGCTGTAACTTTCTTTTTCTCTTTGTAGAAGTTAGAGTGTTCTTCTCGAAAGCCCACTTGAGCCCACCGTCACTGCAGTGGGTGCTGTTCGGCTCAGCCTTCCCAGCGCCTGCTGTTTGCTGGTTAGGCACTGTGCGTGCCATTCTGATCGCCCCTTACCTGAGGCAACCTCTCCTCTATTGAGCCTTTATGTTCCTTCTCTTGGTTTCTCTTTTGGATTGCATGTTGCTTCAGATAAAATCACTAACAACATATGGCCTGTTATGATTCTCTTTTCCCAAACTCTGCCATTTTGTATATTTGTGACTCACTGCAGATTTTGTGAAGATTGCTTCATAATATTTGTTTACCATCTGCTACACTCTATTTGGTATCTTGCTAGGATTTTTTCCTCCATTTTAAGTGACATTAACAAAATCCAGCCAGTACATAGACTTTCTGGTTCTACTTTTGCTTCCCTAATGTGCTGGAAAATCATATTACTATGCTCCAGGCAACTAGAGAAGCCTGGAATTCTCATTGTGAACCAGTGTATTAGATCTATTTCCCCCCCTTCTTCTTGGTCATATCCAGTAATGTTTATTTGGTCAGATGGCAAAGAACCTCCATGTAGAAGGCAAAAGAAGAGTTCAAATTATCTTTTTCTACTTTTTTCTACTTAGTACCACTACTTTCTCCTCTTTACTGGCATATTTATACTTTTGAAACTGTTTGTGCCACTTTAGTAAGTTTTTTATGATTTATAGTTCTACTAGGTGTAATTTTTATAGCTATTCCAGTTTGGTAGGCAAATGAACTTGCTGGATGAACTGTGTGTATCCAGCTTTTCATTTAAAAAAGTATTTTAGAGTTTTGCCTTACTAAATCATTATATGTCTCTTTTCTTATCCTTGCCTAACTTGTCACACAAAGAATTCATTGTCTATAGAGAGAAGTATATTCTCACTGTAAATGTTAAGGCTTGTGATCTCTTGGGCTGCCATCAGAGGGTCAGAGATAGCTTGGATCTTGCCTTTTCTCTAGAATTGCCAATTTTCTCCTGGGTGTGGCTACTGGAGAGATCAGTATGCTTTTCTGAATCAATTCTTCTTTGACAAGAACAAGGAATCTTCATTAAAACAGCTAAGCACAAATATTAAAGAGTGAAGCAGAGTTCCCCAAAGAGTATTTTGTACAGAAAACAAATACATAAAATTGAGTCTCTTATTAATCCGTTAGAACTAGGAATCACTGGGTCATGTAAGCCTGATTTTATCCCCAGGCTTTATTGGCATGCCTCTTTCAACTTACTTGAAGTCTTTCTTTGGACTCAGATTCCTTATGAGACAGCTCTAACACTTGACCTCTAGGTTAGTGTCAAAAGCTATTCTAACCTTTTGACCCCAATTTTCTGTCCATTTAAACCAAAGCATCCTTTTAGTGTTTTATAACAGCTTTTATGGAACTTCTCTGCAAGACATTTTTCTGGTAACTGACTTTTATCACAGATTTTTTTACAAAAGTAATTCCTCAGAGATTCAGACAATCCTAGAATTGTTTGTTTTAAGTAGCTTTAAAGTTTAAGCCTGAGCTTTGAGGACTCTTTCTTGTTTTGCTCTTGATTTAGAGAGACTGTGATTTAAATGATCTTTCTGGGATCTGTGCCCTCAGTTTACAAATTATAGAAAGGTTTATTATTTGCTTTATTAAAGTGCAACTGTACCTCCCCTTTTGTCCCATGTAAGTAACACTTCACTGAGGTCTTGTATGTATTGAGGTTTGAATATAAATAGTCTTTTTTGTAACCATCATCTCTCTAGCTAGCTCTGGAGTAGAAATGAGGTTTACAAAAAACTATTTTGTTGAGGGTGGGAATTTTTTTTTTTTTTTTTAAACCAAGTTCAGGACTTCATCATTTTAGCCCCACACTTAAACATGGAATTTGACCTAATTTTAAAGAAAAAGTTTAAAGTACTTTTATGTGTGGTGTTATGTAAGGTTATATCTCTTTACTGTATCTCCCCCACCCTGTCTCCTGCATTTTAAAGAAAACTTTTTGATTTGACTTTGAACATGTTAAAGTTTCTAGAACCTATGTAGAAGTTCCTTTCTTCTGTCTCCAAAATAAAAATGACACCCTCCAACCCCACCCGGGTTTGGCCCTAGAGAGTCTATATGTTAAAAAGAAAAAAGAAGAAAGCACTAGATTCCTGTATAGTCCTTTATATGCTTAACATCCCTCGGCAGTGTGCTTTCTTTGTTTCTGGAAGTGACCAGCCTGCAGCTTTTGTACTAAAATCAGGCAACTCTTGGTAGCTTAATACCAGTAGGGACCTGCCACAGCTTCCAGCTATCTAGATAGTGTGACTAGATGCTACTGATTCAGATTGAGTTGGGAAGCTCGGCCAGAGGTCAAGGATGCAGGATCCAGCAACAAATCCTTTGGAAACAAAACCACAATGTGTTTGTTGACTGAGTGGGGATGGCCCAAGTGCTTATTTCCATCATGCTGTCAGTTTGCTATTGGCTGCTGAGGAGAAAAAGGAAGTAGCATTTTGCTCTGAAATAGGCTATTTGGGAGAGAGCACCAGTTCCCTCCTACGGTTACCGTGGCTTGGTTACAGAGCAAGGGCTATTTTCAGAACTGTAGCTGGAAGGGTGAGATAGGGTAGGCAAGACCCATGTCTGAACAGGATGCCCCAGTATTTTCAGTAAGAGTCCCCAGAGTGTGTCTTGCAAGCTTATTGTCTTCACAATGTGATTTTTTTCTGATTATCCAGCCCTTTGATCAGAGGGATCTTTACATCTGATCAAGTCAGCAATTACATGCTCAAGAGTGACAAAAAAAAAAAAAAAAAAAGGTCGTTTAGCAAATATATCAGAGCTGAGAGCTGAGAGGTTGGAACAAGAGTCTATGTCCCTTCCAATCTGCTACATTGGGAGGCTATGTTCTTCCAACAACGCTGCCATTGCTCAAAACGTTTTTGGCATTTTTTTTTCCAACTGGGCATTTAGAGTCTACCACATAGCTTGTTGTCACTATTGACAAATCTTTATCTTTGGAAGGATGAAGTAGCTAACTAAATGTTTAGGAATAGGCAAAAGTCATTCCTTTGGAGTCCTGCCTGGCAGATGGTATGGGTGTGGGATCAGGCTGACTTTTCCATTTTGGGTTAAAAAATGAAATCTGATACTCTCACTTAGTCTATCCTCAGGTGCTGTAAGCAGTTTTAGAAGAGATATTTTTAAATATTTTGACTAAGAGAATCATTATTGGAATAACTGAATTCTTTTTTGATGTGATTACTTTGATGGTAACGCTTATTCAAATATATACATTCTGATCATATATTTTCTAAAGCCTTATTATCTTCCAGCCTTAAGACTATCACCTTATTTCAAAATAGCATTAATCACCATTTGAAAGTTAAGGATGGTCAGAAAATACTTGATACAAATGAAACTGTTGAGAGTGTAAAAGAATGAGCTACTAAATAGAATGGAATGTGGGAACAGTTGTGTTGGAGGTGCTTTGCAAGCTAACCTTACACTAAGACTCCAGGTTCTTCTTTTGTAAAAGGGGAATAATAATGATGATGTTCACATCATAGGGTTGTTTTTCGGTTTTTAACGAGATGCTACATGTGAGGCACAAATCACACTGCCTTGTGTATCGTCGTCGTCGTCGTCGTCATGTGCCTTCAAGTCGGCCCCGACTCATAGCGACCCCTCCTTGGGTTTCCGAGGCAGTATCACTACGGAAGTAGATTGCCCAACCTTCCTTCCGAGGAGTGGCTGGTGGGTAGTATTCAATAAATATTAGTCATTTTTATCATGCTGTTGTGACATGATAAATTGCCTGGGAGAGAGGAAGAATAGAGAAGTAGAAGGATAGAGTGCTGTTTGGGGAATGTAAAGAAATACAGAAATATTGACAGAACTAGACTGGGTTCTCTTAATTTTTTTTAAAAAAAGTTTTCCAAACCAAATTGTTTAGTCACAGTTAGTTAAACTTACTTTATCTAGATATATGTTGTGAATGACATGAACAATATTTTAACTTTTGGCTATCCCTAAAATAGTTTTGGTTCTTAATCGAGATAGAAGGTGCCCTGGTGGTACAGTGGTTAAAGTACTTGGCTGCTGACCAAAGAGCCTATGGTTCAAACCCACCAGCCACTCTGCAGGAGAAAGATTTGGCAGTCTACTTATGTAAAGATTATAGCCTTGGAAACCCTGTAGGATAGTTAGACTCTGTCCTACAAGGTCACTGTGAGTTGAAATCAACTTATAGTGGTACTTTTTTTTCTTATATTGAGATACAAATTGTATTCTGAACAAAAACAAAGCAAACCAATGACCCCAGCATTCCCCAAAACTAGATGTTGGGGATTTGGATATCAAGTTGTAAAAAAACAATTGCATTATGTCCCCACCTGTCATGACTTTTGTACATTAAAAAAGTGCAAATCTTATCGGTTACATTGTGTTGCTTTTTAAACAGATGAAGATGAAGATGGTGATCGAATTACAGTGAGAAGTGATGAAGAAATGAAGGCAATGCTGTCATATGTAAGTATATTACAAATGAGGACTATTTCTTAAAATGTTAATGTAATTGAGGATGATGTTCCCCGGGCATAGTGAGGATATGAAAGCTAAATTACAGTTGCCATAACATTTTTCTGTATAATATGTAAGCTTTTCAAAGATTTCCTTATGTGAAAGTTAAGGGCATTTTTTTCAAAGGACTTGTACACTTACTGATCATATCATGAACATTAAGAATAATGCATCTTAATGACTTTTGCATTAGGTATGGTGCAGACTAAATGGACTATCAATTTCCTGTATTTTTTATGCAGTACTTAAAGTAACGGCTCATTAAAAATGAACCCCTGGGCTCTAAAAATTTTTCAAAATCTACTTTCAACTAGAGATCTCTTTCACCCTTCCAGACTATGGTTATAATGTAGCTGCAGGCTTAATATGGATACATGGTTTCAAGATGTGCTCTCAGTTATGTTATGTACTAGTCTCCCTCCCACCCGGAAATGAACTACAGGATTACTTACTGAACCAAAGTGGTTGAATATATCCAGAAATGACTTTTCTCTTGTGTTTCAAATTTCACTGAAAATTTGCATTAACATTTGTTTCCAACTAAAGTGGATAAACAAAAAGAGAAAAGGGTGCCTTCCCAAAACTTTAATACTAAGTTTGATAAATTCACCTACCACGAAGAGACAGCTTTCCTGAGCACTGATTTGAGCTTCCCTCTCTTTTGTTTCATGTTGTGTGAGTTTGCAGTCTGGTTACAAAACCCTCTCTGGTGGTGCAGTAGACAGAGCATTGGACTGGCAGTCAGGGGATCACAGCTCTCTGGCTTCCTGGCCTGAGGCAAATCACTTAACCTTTCTGTGCTGCAGTTGCCTCATCTGTCAATTGTGGATAATAATACTTGTCCTTTCTGCTGCACAGGGTCATTGTAATGATCAAATGGGAAAATAGATGTGAAAGCCCTTTGAAAAGTTAAAAGTTCTATACAAATGCAAAGTGATATTATGGTGGAAATGATGGCATCAGGACCTATGCTTTTCAGTGAGGGTCTAATCTTAACGAACAGTTAGGTTGTAGGTTTTTGATAGACTTTTGCTTAAAACAGATTATTGTTTTATCGTAATGAAAACTGTAAAATATCTGTGTGGGTTTTCTCCAATAGTTTTAATTTAGGGTAGGAGGAAAGAGAACAAGAAGAATGGCATGATTAACAGAGCGTTGCTTTCCAACTAGCACAGAGTAGGAAAAGTCAATTTCCCATTGACTTCCCATTAACTTATGTGGGAGTCTTTGTGTACTGAGAATTTAGAGCTGGGCTCATCAGTACTTTGAAAGGCAGTGTAAGATTGTTTACTGAAAGATCTAGCACTAGTATTGAAAGATTGGTGAACTCTCCTGAGAACATGACATGCTTATTTATGGAAAACACAAAGATTGGTTCTAGTTTTCTCAGATACACCTATTGCAAGAACTGATAACAGTGTACTTCCATTATGTATCTGACATAACCATACACAAGGGTATGTTTTCAGTTATGTATTTTTGGAAAGATTTGACAAAATTGTGATTTTTACAAACCTGCAGAAACATTACTGTGGTTGATCATAGTGATAATAGTAATAATTTCCATTTCTGAGTGCTTGCTGTACTTTACATGCATGAGGTATTTTCTTTACTTTCAATAATCACTCCGTGAGGTGTGTATTATTATGCTTGTTTTTTGAGATGAGGACTTGCCCAAGGTCTTAGAGCTAGTGTAAGTGTGAATGGGGAATTTAAGTCCAGCTCTTCCTTATACCATGCTCATTCACTGTTTTAAAATGTTTTTCCCCATCTGCTCCTTGCAAATTATTATTAAACTCTGGATGATTTGTGTTTATGTAATACCTTAGTTGAGATACCTGTAGAATATGTTCCTTACAACTTAAGCTTATTTTTTCAAATTGTATATTTATTTTTTGTAGTTGTGGTTGAAGGAAAATATTAGAGTTGTTTAATTGTCCTTACATTAAATAGTTCCTAAGGTTTCTTGGGAACTACTTTTAATCTAGAAAGAGATCATCTAGCTCATTGATTCTCAGATATTAGGATTTTGTGAACAAATCAATTTTTAATTTTTATATTGGGGGACAACCATAGTCATGGTAAGTTTTAATTTTGCCAAATAAATGTATTAGTAATATTAATTTTATTCAAAAAGACAAAATAGTGGGAATGTAGGGTTCCACTTTTCTGATTCTGGGCATTAGAGCTAAATATTTCAAGATGAAAAGGAAAATATCCCTGAGAAAGATAACATGTTAAGTCATTTGAGACTTAAGTGGGATTTTCTTTTTTCTCTTGCTTGTGGGGGTAGCCCCTACCAACACATGGCCTTTGTTTGTGTAGAGTCAGGCTCTGAGTAAACATTTAAAAGTAAAGAATAGGAGACTCACTTTTTCAAAAGCCTAATAAGATTCTTCTCGGAAGGAAGGTTGGGCAATCCTACTTCCGTAGTGATACTGCCTCGGAAACCCAAGGAGGGGTCACTATGAGTCGGGGCCGACTCGACGGCACATAACAACAACAACAACAAATAAGATTCCTTGGTTGTCGTTTTGATAGGTCTCTTGCTTATTGTACAAATGCCATTGGGTTCCAGTTTTATCATAAAGAGAATGATTTGGACTTAATCTCACAATAGATTTTAGTTGGTAATCCTCACGATTACCAGCCTGTTATTAAAAACTTGCATTAGTCTTTATTTTTTAGGTTCAGTTTGGCTTTGGAAGACTTTGTGTCAGATTTGGTGTGGCAGCATAGGGAAGATACTGACTGATGACCAAATATTTCCTTAAAAAAATCTGCTTAGTTTTTAAAATAATTTATGGAAAGTAATAAATTCATAGTCATCTTAATATTTCTTGAAAAACAATATGGGAGAAAGCAAAACTGGAGACACTTTCACTATAATTCGTTTATTCATTCTTCCCCTTGATGATGAATGTGAGAATAAACATTCTCTATGTGAGAATAAAAACATTTTTGCAATGTTGGTGTTGAAACTTACAGAATTACCCCCCCACACACACACACACATACACACAAATATTTTCTGGCTTTGAGCCAACAGAAGCCTAAGTTTTAATCAGTAACTTAAATAGATTTTTGTATTAGACCTGAAAATGTTGCCTTTTTAATTGAAAACTTATCAATTATTTAAATCATTAGTAGCCTTAGGCTGTTAATTTTATGTGTGCCATAATAGTGGCGTACAGTGGTTTTGGATACATGTGACACATGGAATATTGTATTGTGGTAGGGATTTGTCATGACAATAGGTTGTTGTGTGCTGTTAAATAATAACCAACATATTAAGCCAAAGTCTGTTGTCACACATTAGTAGCATTTTATGTAAGTTATTTAGAACTCGTATTCTTTTCTTCATTAGATATATTTTTTAAGAGATAATGAGAAGAAAACAAAGCTATAATAAATTGTCTTTTAAGAAAATATAAAGTAATTTGGTCTCCAAGGAGATATTTAATGTATTGAAAGAATTCAGCAGCCAAGTGTTATTACAGCACCATTGTGATAGTTCTCTGCGTTTTGTTATGAGTTTGTGTTAATCAACAATCTGTTTTTATAGCGTAGTTTCTTGTAAGTTATGTTGTTAGAATATTCCACTTCTGGGATCATGGCTTTTCCTCTGACACTATTGTATCTTTTTAATTCCTCCATAAAGTATTTTTTTAATTAGAATGTGAAATGCTTTATTAGAAAAAATACATATACCACCTACATATTATGAAAACTAAATACCTGATCATTGCTAATTATTTAAAGAACCCTGTTAAATATTCCCTTAATGTAGTTTAAATTTTTTTTATGGAGGGGCATTCATTTTCCCCTCTCTCATTTTCTAGAAAGCTGGAAAATAGTATGCAATGCTACTTTTCTCCTTACATCTTTATGTATTTGTTGTCTGGTAGGGATGGCTTCGTTTCCTTATAGCATCAATTGGCAAGGCTGGGCCTTGTTTATTGTTTGATCATAAGCTTTGTCTATCATTTAGGCACTTTCTAGGAAGGGGCTATTTCAATGTTAACCTCTGCTTTCAGATGACCTTTCATTAAGAAACTCAGCAGTACATCTTGCTTTTGTAAATGGATTCATATTTGTTTCTGCTAAATCCTTATGTCTAGCAGAGGATTTATTATACCTAGTTCTCTCAATACTGAGAGGCTTGTGTGAGTGGAGTATAGTCTTAATAAGAATAATTTTCTTCATTTTGCTGGTTCTCTCTCTTAATACCATTTTTCACATTGCCAGAAGAGTGTGGGATGAGTGTTACTTTAATGTCTCCCATTATGGCAGGGACCTTGTGTTTTAGAGAAGTGTGTGTGTATTCTCTTGGGAGCTCTGGTAGCGTAGTGGCTAAGGCATTTGACTGCTAACCAGAAGGCTGGTGGTTCAAACACACCAGCCACTCTTTGGAAGGAAGATGGGGCAATCTACTTCCGTAGTGATACTGCCTCGGAAACCCAAGGAGGGGTTGCTATGAGTCGGGTCCAACTTGATGGCACATAACAACAACAACAACAACAACAACGACATATATTCCCTTTGGTGTACTTGGCCATAGTCACCTTGTTCCACATTGGGTACCATGAAGGGAAATACTTTCTGACCTCTGGAGTCCCTTGTAAATTGGGATATGATTAGCTTCATCCTAGTATGCATCACTTGGTGATTGCCTCTAAAATCATATAATTACCCAAGTAGAGTTGAATAGAACCCTTATAAATCCTCTTGTCCAAGTCTTTCATTTTATAGACAAGGAAATTACAGCCCACTGAGATCAGCTTCAGTCAGAAATCACAAGGCTAATTATGGGAAGGTCTGAACACAGACTCAGGTTTCCAGACTCCCAGTTGCTTCACTCCTCATTGTTTTAAGTGATGTTATTGTTATTTGTGTGTGTGTGTGTTGTGTTGTTACTGATTTATTATTATTTAAGTGATGCTACAGAG